TTTTTATTGGTTGTTCAAAACATTACAAAGCTCATGATATATCATCTTTCATACATTTGACTCAATTGGGTTATGAACTCCCATTTTTATCCCAAATACAAATTGCAGAATCACATCGGTTACACACTCACATTTTTACATAATGGCATATTAGTGACTGTTGTATTCTGCTACCTTTCCTTTCCCCTACTATCCCCCCTCCCCTCCTGTAGGGGGATTTACTTCTGAGCTACATCTCCAAGCCTTTTTATTTTTGCTTCTGAGACAGGGTCTTGCTAAATGCCTAGATTGACCTCAAGTTTGTGATCCTCCTGTCTCAGCCTCACAGTCACTGGGATTACAGGGGTGCATATCTGCAAGAATAATTTTTTTTAAATTATGTTTTTGAATTGGATATTAACTGGTAGTATAACAGTGGTCCACTTTATGCTTTTGAATACAGCCCTTGCTGCTCTGCTCCTGCAACTTATTTTTTTATATATATATTTTTTTATTTTGGGGAGAACCACGGACTGAACTCAGGGGCACCTGACCACTGAGCCACATCCCCAGCCCTATTTTGTATTATATTTAGAGACAGGGTCTCATTGAGTTGTTTAGTGCCTCGCCCTTGGTGAGGCTTGGCTTTGAACTCTCAATGCTCCTTTCTCAGCTCCTGAGCTGCTGGGATTACAGGCATGTGCCACATCACCCAGCTGCAATTTATTTTCTATTTTTTTTTTTAAAGAAAGAGTGAGAGAATTTAGATAATTTTTTAATATTTTCTTTTTTTTTTTTTTTTTTAGTTTTCGGTGGACACAACATCTTTGTTTGTATGTGGTGCTGAGGATCGAACCTGGGCCCTACGCATGCCAGGCAAGCGCGCTACTGCTTGAGCCACATTCTCAGCCCGCAATTTATTTTCTAAATGGACTGTTTCTTTCTCTTCCTCTCTCTCTGTTCCTCCCTAATCTCTCCCTCTCCCCAGTCTCAGGGGAAACAGGATTATCTTTCTTCCCCAGCCTAGACAGTTTTTCTGACCTTGAGCACTCATCTACCATAGGAATGAAGTAATACAGACTTTGAAAATGCTATCAGAAGATCTCAGAAAAGACTCTCCCCCAAATTAACAAGTGAATTACAACTCCACAGAGGACACATGGAATGTAGCCTACAAATCACCTCTTTAAAAGCCCCCTGTTTCTGTTGATGGGCAGAATCACAGCCTCCAGGACAGGAGTCCCCTGTGTTTCTCCTTTGCTAGCAAAGCAATAAACCTTCCTTTTCCTTTTTCTCAAAACTGTGTCCTATTTATTGGGTTGGTATCCGGGAAGGACCAAGGTTTTGGCAACAGTAGAAAAACTGATTTTCCCATTCTTTTAAAAAAATCTAACAATTTTATTTTCCCATTCTTTTTGTCACTACATTATTGAATTAGTTTTGAAATCCTGCATTATGTATCTAAATAATTACAAATTGGAAAACTATTTTGCACATTGCTCTCATATGCATCAACCTTGCTGATTGCTTACTCATTTTAATAATAGCTTTCTGTGGTTTTCACTGGATTTTCTACATGGGTAATCATTGTCTGCAAATAATGACAAATTAATCTCTTCTTTCCAATTTGTTTTACTTTATTTCTATTTTTTGACTTAGTACATTGGATAAGACCAGATCAATGAATGGATAGGACGAGATCAATGAATGAAGGAGGCATCCATTTCTACTTCCTGACTTCAATGGAAATGTGTCTAAGGTTTCACAATTAGGTATTATAGATGTTCTAAGTTTGTTAGAGATACCTTTCATGCTGAAGACACTTTTTTTTTTTGTACCAGGGATTAAACTTGGGGGCATTCGACCACTGAGCCACATCCGCAGCCCTATTTTGTATTTTATTTAGAGACAGGGTCTCACTGAGTTGCTTAGCACCTTGCCATTGCTGAGGCTGGCTTTGAACTCGAAATCTTCCTGCCTCAGCCTTCCAAACCATTGGGATTACAGGCATGCACCACTGCGCCGGCTGAAGACCCTTCTTATTCACAGCTTGAGAATTTTTATTGAATACCAAAGTTTGTTATATGGCATATTTGTACCAATAATTTCATTATTTTCTTAGTTCTATTAATCTGTCTTCCTAATGTTGGGTCATTCTTAAATTCTTTTTTTTTTTTTTTTTCAGTACTGTGGGTCAAATCTAGAGCCTCAAACATACTACCAGGCAAGAACTCCTATCACTGGGCAACATGCCCAGCTCTTTTAAAATTTAATTAAATTTTTTTGTACTGGGGATTGAACCCAGGGACATTCAACCACTATGGTATAATCCCACCCTTTAATTTTTTTTTTTTTTTTAATTTTGCTAAGGGTCTCACTGGCCTCAAATTTGTGATCCTCCTGCCTCAAGCTCCAGAGTAGCTGGGATTACAGTTTTGTGCCACCAAGCCCAGCTCAGCCTTACATTCTTCAGATAAATCCTGATTACTGAGGACTTTAAAAATTTTTATTTGCTAATGTTTTATTCAGGATTTAAAAGAAACCTGTCTTCATAAATGACATCAGACTATCATTTTCTTGTTTGTCCTCTTCCTGTTTTGGCATGGAAATTATATTACCTCTTAAGAAGACCAGAGTAGGTTTTCCCACTCCTCTGTTCTCTGAAATATTTTAAAGAAATTTTAGGAAAATTTACCTGCAAAACCAATTTCTTTTCTTTTTCTTTTTTTTTTTTTAAGAGAGAGAGAGAGAGAGAGAGAGAGAGAGAATTTTTTTTTTAAATATTTATTTTTTAGTTCTCTGTGGACACAACATCTTTGTTTGTATGTGGTGCTGAGGATCGAACCCGGGCCAAACCCATGCCAGGACCGCTTGAGCCACATCCCCAGCTCCAAAACCAATTTCTGATATGTTAAAGTCCCATTTGAATGTGTATGTGTCAATTTCTCCTATGTTAGTTGGTTTTGAATTTTTTTTAATATTTATTTATGTATCTTTAGTTTTAGATGGATACATTAGTTTGTTTTTATGTGGTGCGGAGGATCAAACCCAGTGCCTCATGCATGCTAGGCGAGTGCTCTACCACTGAGCCACCACCCCAGCCCAGTTTGGAATTTTATATTAAGGTTATCAGGTGCTTAAAAAATTCATGATGAGTCTTTTTTTGGTGGATTATTCTGTCAAATTACTCTCCCAGGGTGGGGGTATATCTCAGTTGGTAGAGTGCTTGCCTTGCATGCATAAGGCCCTGGGTTCAATATCCAGCACACACACAAAAATATATTCTATCCCTTTTGGGTAGAATATTTCTTGTTCTATCAAGTGGCATTGTTGTTTATTATAATTTTTTTACCCTGAATCCTTTCATCTTTTTTTTAAAATATTTTTTAGTTTTAGGTGTACACAACATCTTTATTTCAAACCCAGTGAGTGCCTCACGCATGGTAGGCGAGCGCGCTACCACTTGAGCCACATCCCCAGCCCTGAATCCTTTCATCTTGATATTATTAGTAACACCTTTTTTTTTTTTTTTTTTTTTTTGGTACTGGCAATTGAGAACCCAGGGGCACAAACCTTTATTGTATTTTAGAGATAGGGCCTCATTGACTTGTTTAGGGCCTCACCAAATTGCAGAGACTGGCTTTGAACTAAGGATTTTCCTACCTCAGCTTCTTGAGCAGCTGGGATTACAAGAGTGAGCCACCATATTCAGTTTTTTTTTTTTTTAACCTTTATTTTATTTATTTTTATGTAGTGGTGAGGATCGAACCCAGGGCATCGCATGTGCTAGGCAAGCGCTCTACCGCTAAGCCACAACCCCAGCCCTAGTTCTTTTCTTTCTTTTTTTGTACTGGGGATTGAACCCAGAGACATTTTACTACTGAGCTACATACCCAATCCTTTTACTTTTTGTTTCGAGACAAGGTCTTGCTAAATTGCTTAAGGCCTTGCTAAACCGCTGAGGCTGGCCTAAATTTGGGATCCCCTGCCTCAGCCTCCAGAATAGCTGGGATTACAGGTATGTGCCTTCGGCCCAGTTCACACACCTGTCATTTATAAATCAGTATTTCCTGGAATATATTTTTTACTCTTTTATCTTGAACTTTGCTCAGTGTGTGTGTATGTATGTGTATATTTAACAAATTAATTAAAACAACTTACATTCATTTAATGGATTGATATATTAGGACTTGTTTCTTCTTATTTTATGTTTTGACAGGAGTAAACATCAAGGATGAACAAACAACATGAATCAGCAAAAGGACTTGTTTTGGACTTGTTTTGGACTTTGCAGTGACTAAGTGACTTTTTAGTTGTAAACATGTTTTTGGTTATAGGATGACTAGATAGTATGCCCATGTTAGATAAGTTGATGATGTAACTAGGTAGTGTGCTTATGTTAGATAAGTTAGACACAAACAAGTTTGTTGTAAACATATAGAGTATATAAGCGCGAGGGAAACTCCATGTATTTGCTCACAATCAACTCTCATCGCCTGAGAGTAAGATCGTGCAGTGTGAGCCAGCCACCTCGTGTATTGCTTTGTGTGGTGTGCGAATAAACCAGCATTTCAAAAGGCAATCGAGTTCGTGCTTGGTGTTCGCGTACGTCGCGGTCCGGGGTCCAGTGCAGATATCCGGAAGGGAACTCCTGGTAACCAGACAAGGCTGAGAAGCTGCTCGTGACAGTTGGCGTAGTCGGCAGGATACGGAAGAAGAGCTCCGGAGCAGGTAAATATAACCCACATGGCAATGCACAATTTCTTCTACTGAAAACCTAGAATGACCGTGATCGTCCGGCGTCTAGGCTGAAGGTGGAATGAAAGGGGAGTGCCCCCACCAAAATCCTTAGGAGGACGGTGGTCCCTGTGCATGGGGTGGCTTAAGGAAAGGATAGAAAATTGGGCACTATATAGCTGGCATCAGGGAATAAGTCAGATACCTTATAAGATAGAAACAAACGGGTTTATTGCTTGGAAAATTCATATAGCTAAACTGAGGATCCTCTTAAAAATAGCAACATGGGCTTCAAGGAAGTAATAAAAAGATTTAGGCAGAAATGTAAAATAGGAGAACTAAAGCTCGAGCAAAAGGAATTAAAATCTCAATCGCCATGGCGAGGTATTGAAAGAATTGTTCAGGCAAAGATGCCTGAGTTCCAGAAAGGAACCACAGTTGAGGTAACATTAAGTAATCCTCAGACTGTCAAGCCCATAATGGAACGGGCTGACAAGAAAGAAATCCCGGGAATATTATGTAAAATTATAGATGATATAGATGATGACAGGCTAAGAGGCAAAAGGTTAGTAAAAGAAGCCCTTAAAAATGGAAGTAATAACCCATTTTTGAAAGATATATTGAACCAACTGGAAGCTCCTGATAAGGCCAGCATGCCAGTTTCAGTAATTAAAACATCCACACCCGGACGGGGACGCCCAGATGGGTTGGAACAAGTTATTGAAACTAGGGACTTAACTAGACCTGAAATGGTTCAGTTAAGGCAAGATTTTTCACAGAAAGGTCAGACCGACGGAGACTTTTTGTTTACAATTCATAGTAAGGGAGGCGAGTCTATAAGACTCGCAGGCAAGGAGATGCAGGTGGTTAATATCCAGATAGACAATCCGAGTGTTGCGGACACTTTAGCAAAGATTATACAAGAGGAACCTGACAGGGTACGCACACTTTGGGATTGGATTGCAATAGCCTGGGCAGAGGCCATCCCACATATAGATTGGGGTGTCTTTGAAGGCCAGGTACAGTGGAAGAATCCCAGTGAAGGGATTAAGATAGTAAAGAAGTTAGCTATTTTTAGCAAAATTTATAATCAGTTTCAAGGATCCCCTTTAAGTGCTCACTTAACAGCCGCGCTTAGGAGAATGACTTTACATGTATAGAAGCAGCAGAAAAGGATGTTGCATCACTGCCTTTTCAGGTTTGGGTGTCCAACAAACAGAATGATTATAATTTATTCGATTATGAATATGAAGAATATGACTATTCTTCATATGATGATGGAGAAGAAGAAGGTTCTGGTGAATTTACAACTACAACCCCACGAACAACTACGTTGGGGATAAATTTGTTGCCATATAATGATTCTAAGAAAATGTTGGATGAGTGGAAAGGATTGCCTAGACATTTACAAGGAGCTAGGCCATTGCCTAGATGGCCGCAAGTTTTAGTTGAACCCTACGGGACATGGTGTCCAAAAGAGTTACAGCAGTATCTAGATTCCATGAGCACTAAACAAAGGAATATGTCTATATATATTGAAGATGTGCAAAGCAGAACTCATTTGAATTATACCCATTATGTATCTTGTGTAGCGGATTTTCCTAATTTACCTATATATGGAAAGTTCGAGATTCTACAGAATCCTGATAGATCCTTAGAAATACGGAACCAATCTTATCTTACTATAGATAATTGGTGGAAAGTCAATACCTTAGGTACCGCCACTTGGCGATCACCTGTTGTGTTGACCGACCCTTTACCACAGCCATTTACCCATAACTTGGTTAAACCCGTGGCCACGCCTCCTAAAATAAAGGATAAAATCGGGTATGTTTGTATCCGTAGCATTTTTGGAGATATGCTTAACCGAACACAGGGACAAGCATTTATTGGTAGAGTTTGCTTCCCTGTTGATTCAACCTTCCTTAAGTGGTGCCAATATAGATATTATTATAAAATTGGTAATTATTCATCTGTAACTTATAAGATTCACACACAGGCCTGTAGGCTGGGTCCAGTTTACAGGACGACTGGGGTATTACATCCTGAATTTGGAATGTTTAATCACTCTGGATGGCTATTATTTGAAAACAAAACAAGGAGGTATGTCTTTAAAAATGCCAACAATGAATGGGACCTCTCAGAGATTGTGGATGGCCCGAAATTGGGACAGAGAGTGCATAGTCCAGGGTTACATGATTATAAATTCACCGTGGACGAATACATTGTTAACCAGACAGTGTGGAAAAACTACACACAATATTATAATATATTTAATTGGACATGGTGTTATAATTTTAGCAGACAAAATTGTGTACAGAATCCTCTTCATGCTGTATATTTGAATGCCTCTCATATGCATCTTGAGGTGAATAATACGTGGCATAGGTTTGATAATCAGTCCTGGCAACCTGTATTGGTTGTCACACCTAAGGATATTTTGGAAAAACACTTTTATAATGTTACATTTCTGCAGGTAGATTATACTTATAATGGATCCAAAGGAGAATCTTCAAAGTGGCCTTATTATAAATGCGAAGACTGTACCTTTAAGTTTTATGATAATTTCTTTGGGACTTTGATTCCCGTGTTTAATTTGAGTGATGACAAAATCAGAGTGAATGTCCATAATATGTCAATCCCGATGGGAGTTGATTCTAATTATGTGGACACTAAAAATGTTAGTTTAGCTATGGAAAGATCTATTTGCAGATGGTTTCCACATTCATGGCAATATGTGATTGGTATTCATAGGTCTATTATGCATAATGATTCCACGTACTATGATATTCCTCTTGATGTAAATATAACTGGAAATGTTTCCAAACATTATGAAGGTGGTAATGTTGTATTAGGCAATGAGGAAAAACAAACGAGGGATTATACTTTACATCCAACAGTATATTCTCTTGCATTTGTACCACCAGATTTGGATGAAGTTACTTTAGTGAATTACAAAACAGAAACTTACCTGGTAAATGCTGATGACTACTGGTCATTGAAGACTGGGTGCCCTAGAGCACAGCTCTGGGATACTATAATTAGATACCATGTGGATGTAGCAGATAGAAGAACTCTGAAATGGTGGTTGACACAAGGAATGGATTTCTCTACTTGGCCTAGTAAAATATATCCAGGAAAATTACCTTATTACTGGTATATGTTATTACCAGGAAGTGAAAATGAATGGAATCTTTATGATATTGTAACACATGATGTTTTACATAATAATACTGATGTGTTTGATGCACATGCAGGTAATCATATTATATATAGTACAAAGATGGATATGCAGAAATGCTACATGGAACCGACCTCTTTGAATCCTTGCTTAATTGATAGAGGAGGATTTAATGAAACCAAGGGATGGGTTACTGCCCATTTCCCAAGAGCGGTCCTCTTCCCACGCAAGGAAAAGGACGGTAATTTTATGAAGACTTTAGAGGCTCCAGGATTTTTACCTTTACTACATCAGCCAGTTAGATTTTTGATACAACCACAAGTACAGCCAATTGTGTTACGATTGTCTGTTAGTGATTTGTTGAAAGGTGAAACTGTATGTCCTTCTTTTGAGTCTACTGTGTTGCCAGATTTGTTTTATTCAGTTCAAAGAAATGCAGCAGGACGGAGACCTTTGCAGTTCGCAGCGATTGGCGCTTTCCTGGCCGGAGCAGCTTTGGGGGCAGCAATCGCTGGAGCAATGACGGAGGAACTTCGAGTGGAAATTTCAGCTCTGCGTGGACTTCAGAATAAACAGAACTTTGTTATCTCACAATTATCTAAAAATCTGCACTCCGCGTCCTTGCTTATGGAAAGACTTTCTGCAGAACAGGAACTTTTGAAACATCATGTTGATTCATTAAGTAAGGTGATCGAGACTATGGATGCATCGTGGAATGTACGCATGAAACAATTGGAGGCAACTCAGGAGTGTGAACATCTGCAGGCAATGATCACCGCGGGATTAGAAGAAATAAGACTGTTATTTAGAACTGGCATAGGCATGGAAACTGCATCAGCTATAACCATATTAGATCCTACAAAGGACTCTTGGTGTGAAACTGGTGTTTGCATGATTAATTTATGGCAAATGTCGACATCTAAGGTTGTAATAGGATATCCAACTAAGGCTATACCAAAGAAAATTGGTAAAGATTGGATAATACCATTTGATAAGTTTTATTGGTTGAAATGGAACAATATGTCATATTATGTGCCTAGTGAAGCCACTTATGCGATAGGTAAAACAACTGTTATAGCCTATGATCTTTTCTCAGATGAACCTAGGACTTCTGATATAACTATATCTATGCCTCAGGCTACTTTGTTAGATCTTGGGAATTTTAATATGTTGTCTTGTTATCCTGAACCGTACATGGTTCAACGATGGCAAAACATTTCTTATAGTGATTCTTTGAGTCTGAATGCTGGTTGCCATATACATACTAATGTCATGATGATGGAACATATGAATTTGACCGTTCAGAAACATCTGTTTAGGAGTTTGAATTTTACTAACACGAGAAATGTACGAGTCCTGACTCAGGTGGTTTATTTGTCTAATCATACTTTTGGGTTACATACTTTTGTGCCCCAGCCACCTCTGTCGGAAGAATATAAACATATGATGAAGGCGACGGAGGCAGCTAAGTCCATTTATGCTTCATTGGGAAAGGAAATTGAGACAGTACATAATCAAACTACTGAACTTCTCCAAAGATTCTCAGGAGAAACTCATAAAGTTAAAATGTTGGTTGATTCCGGATACTTGATTCCGCGTGACTTTCAGTATACTTATGATTGTAGTTTTGTAGGTTTCTTTAGAAAATTGGTTCATGCAGATGTTAGTTGCATTATGAGATGGAACCCTTTCCATTGGCTTAAGGAAGGATTGCTATATGTATGTTGTTTTGTATTATTTGTATTATGTATTAAGGTTTGTTTAAAGATCAATAAGACTGCAGGAAAGAAAACTTACATTAAAATGGATAAACTTCAACATTACAGGGACCATGAAACGAAAGGCACTAAGAACATCAAATCCAAGAAGGAGAAGGACGGAAAGATCGAGGAATTATTCTGAACAGTTGCACTATGCAAATTGTCATCTTTGCATCGAATTTCATGTAAATACATGGTTTTTATATAGTGCATATACACTGTTTGGGCAGGAACGTTTTTCTCTTTTATGTAGACTAGTAACCTTACGCAGTGGACCATGGTGTCCACTGGATAGGACCTTGGAAGGCCAAGTGCCCTCTTTGTGTGTGTTTTTGAATCATGTTTGGAATTGTATTTCTGATAATAATTTGCATTGTGATGTTTATTGTAGATATAATATACATTTGTGTGTTAAGACTTTATTTGGATTGTTCACTGAAGTGATGAAGTCTGATCATGATTTATTAACCTTACATTCTAATGCAGGTGCTTTTTATGTTAATGGACTTATTTCACTTAACTATAATAGATCATTATTATTTGGTGATGCTGTATTGTGTAGAATCAATTCGCAATGCAGACAAAGGAATACATATGTTCCTAGATCTTTATTTGACATATGTTTAAGAAACATTTGTAAGCCTTACTTTATTAAATTATGGACTTATGTGGATTGTCATCAACACTTACCTAAGATTGGTTAATATTGTAGAATTTCTTGAGGAACTATGTCTGTGGACCAGATAATCATCAAACGGATATTAGGACGCAAGCTGAGGAACGACCTATTATTCAGGAAGGACCGGATGACTCCAATTCCGATGTTCTCTGAAAAAGATGTTAATTATCCATTTATGATAGTTCACAATTTGGTGATAGATTTGGATCTAGTAAAGGATTTGGATTTGGACATTTATTTACGATTGAAACAACTTTTCGTTCCAAGAGTGAAAGCTCCCTTCTGCTGTGAGTTTCGTGCTATGCTTCAGCCTTTTCTGCACTCCTGTGTGGTCGGTGGCTGCATGGATGCCGTGGATTGCATCTTCCAATCTGAAGATTGGTTTGCAGGGCCGCGACAGCCCATACGTTTCCCCGAGGACGGGCAACTTCCGAATGGACGACCTAAGACAGGGGACCGTACATGTCGCTTTGATACATCGGCACCATCAGTACCATCGGCGCCTCCGTATCAAGGGGGTGGAATGACAGGAGTAAACATCAAGGATGAACAAACAACATGAATCAGCAAAAGGACTTGTTTTGGACTTGTTTTGGACTTTGCAGTGACTAAGTGACTTTTTAGTTGTAAACATGTTTTTGGTTATAGGATGACTAGATAGTATGCCCATGTTAGATAAGTTGATGATGTAACTAGGTAGTGTGCTTATGTTAGATAAGTTAGACACAAACAAGTTTGTTGTAAACATATAGAGTATATAAGCGCGAGGGAAACTCCATGTATTTGCTCACAATCAACTCTCATCGCCTGAGAGTAAGATCGTGCAGTGTGAGCCAGCCATCTCGTGTATTGCTTTGTGTGGTGTGCGAATAAACCAGCATTTCAAAAGGCAATCGAGTTCGTGCTTGGTGTTCGCGTACGTCGCGGTCCGGGGTCCAGTGCAGATATCCGGAAGGGAACTCCTGGTAACCAGACAAGGCTGAGAAGCTGCTCGTGACATGTTTTTTGTTTATCAATAATTTGCTTTTTTTTTCTTTTTCTTCTTATTACTGAATTAATGAAGTATTAGATAGTACTTATGTATTTCATTCTTCTATTTTGGAAGGTACACATTGTATTGCTATTGTTTTCTTTGTTCTTATTTCCCTTTTTTTTCTTTTTTTGTACTGGGGATAGAAGCCAGCATCTCACACATTACCTTTATTTTATTTATTTATTTTTAATATTTTTTAGTTGTATTTGGACACAGTACCCTTATTTTATTCATTTATCTTTATGTGGTGCCCAGGATCGAACCCAGGGTCTCAAAGTGCGAGGCAAGCGCTGTACCGCAGAGCCACAACTCAAGCCCCTTATTTATTTTTATGTGTTGCTGAGGATCAAACCCAGGACCTCCCTCACACATGAGGCCAGCGTTCTACCGCTGAGCCACAACCCCTAGGGTCTCACACATGCTAGGCAATTGCTCTACTACTGAAAGACATCCCTGTATTCTTTTGCAGTTATTTAAAAGCTATAATAATGAAAATTTCTCCTGAACATAAGTATTTAAATATGCCTTAACTACTTGATTAATTTCCAACCTTATTTTTTTAATTGTTTACAGTTTGGTTATTTATTTATTTTCAATATTGGGAATTGAACCCAGCACATCACACATACTAGGCAACTGCTCTACCACTAAACCATATTCCCAACCAAGGATTAAATCCATAATCACTGAGCCACATCCCCAGCCCTTTTTATTTTTAGACAGATTCTCACTAGGTTGCTTACAGCTTCACTAAATTGTTGAGGCTGGCTTTTTTTTTTTTTTTATTGTGGGTTGTTCAAAACATTACAAATTTCTTGACATATCATATTCCACACTTTGATTCAAGTGGGTTATGAACTCCCACCTTCACCCCATACACAGATTGCAGATTCACATCAGTTACACATCCATTGATTTACAAATTGCCATACTAGTGTCTGTTGTGCTCCGCTGCCTTTCCCATCATCCACCCTCCCCCCCCTGAGGCTGGCTTTGAATTTGCAGTCCTCTTGCCTTAGCCTCCTGAGCCATTGGGATTATAGGGATGGGTTCTCCCTACATTGCTCAGACCGTCCTTGAATTTTCCATCCTCTAGCCTCAGCTTCCTGAGTTGTTGGGATTATAGGCCTGAGGCACTGCACGCGCCCAGCTACAGTTTTAATATTAGCTTTATTTATTTATTTATTTATTTATTTTTTTTAAAGAGAGAGGGAGAGAGAGAGAGAGAGAATTTTAATATTTATTTTTTAGTTCTCGGCGGACACAACATCTTTGTTTGTATGTGGTGCTGAGGATCGAACCCGGGCCGCCCGCATGCCAGGCGAGCGCGCTACGCTTGAGCCACATCCCCAGCCCATATTAGCTTTATTTAGCTTTATTTAGCTAGGTGTGGTGGTATATGCTAATAATCCCAGCAACTCAGGAGGCTGAAGCAGGAGCACCGGAAGTTTGAGGCCACATTCAGCAAATTATCAAGCAACTTAGTGAGACCCTGTCTCAAAAGAAAAAATTAAAGGGCTGGGCATGTAGCTTAGTGGTAAGAAGACTCTGGGTTCAATCCCCAGTGCCATATGAACAAAAATATCTTTATTGAAATACAAAAACATTTAAAAATATACATCAAGTTAAATTTTGCTTATATTTTGTCAATCCATGTTTAATATTATTTATGTCTTCTCTGTTTTTTTTTTTTTTCCTGGCTGATATATATCCTCAATAAAGCTTTTAGGGAAAATATGTAGAAAATAAATACTTCATCTTTGGTATCTGGAAATGTATTTTTATTTCTAATTAATTGTATTTTCCCTCACTTGTAAAGATAGCTATGGATATATAAAATTCTACATAGTCATTTTCAGAATTATTCCATTGTTTCCTGGCAAGTATCATTGTTGATTAAAAAAAATAAGTCTGCTACAGTCTGGTATTCCTATTTTTATCTAATCTGTTTTCTTTCTGGTAGCTTTTAAGATTTTCTTTTTATCCCTAATGTTTTCAAGTTTTACTACAAAATGTCTATGTGTCTATTTATTTGTTTATCTTTATATATCTATTCAAAGTATACTAAGATTAATTTTCCTCTAATGCTCGGTGAAAACTGTTTTTTTCTTCTCAAAAAATTGTTTCTCTGCCAGTCCTTCCCTTCTATTACTCTGGAACTCTCTTAGATATGTTTAAACCTCTCAATTAATATAAAGTTCTTTCAGAATTTTTATTTTATCCATGAGTTATGTTACTGAGTATAGTATTCTTGAAAAGCATTCTTTTAAAATCTCTTCCAGGATCCAACCTACATAGATTCAGGAACAGGTTTAGAATGAAAATATAAAAATTACTGGAGAAAACAGACCTTCAAGCAACTCCTCTGTCTCTTTGCCCTTTGCCTGAGACCTTGACTCACCTGGATTCAAAATGGACCCCAATTGCTCCTGTGTCACTTGTGGCTCCTGCACATACAAAGAGTGCAGATGCACCTCCTGCAAAAAACAACTGCTGTCTTACTGCTCCACTGGTTGTGCCAAGTGTGCAAGGGTAGTGTCTGCAAAGAGGCACCAGACAAGTACAGGTTCTGTGCGTAATGTGTGGAGAGCACTGCTACCCTGTGCACACAGAGTGATGTGTGCAAATCTGCATTTCTTTCCCTAGTTCCCTGACCCATTTGAAACATTCCTTTTTCTCTGAAGTATGTAATGATAATAAAAGCTGTTGATTTTTAAAAAATACATTGGAGAGGCTATGTCTGCTGATGAAGAAGTTGCTGCCACATTTCTGGCAGAGTTGAAGGAGCTGATTAAATAAGGCTTTTGATGAAATAAGGCTCTTCTGTAAGAAAATGCTCAAAAGAACCTACATTGATAGTGCAAAGGAAACACCAGGGCATGGATCATGGAAAGAAAAATTAACTCTGGTACTATGTGACACTGCTACAGACCTTATGATAAAGCCTGGCTAGTGCATAAGGTGAAGAACTCATACATTGTCAAAAACAAAACCAAATATTACCTGCCCATGTTTTCAAAACATAATCAGTAAGTCTTGTTTTTGGGGTAGTTCTAAGAATGATTTATACCAGAAGTAACAAAATGCTTGGAAGAGGACAGGTTTGAATTTAAAGTCCTATTAATAATAGATAATACACCTCACCATCTGAACCTATTTGCTATGAAAATGAAAATGTCAAGGTTTTCTTTTTTTACCTCCATTACAACCTCATTGTTTGTATTCCCTCTTTATCATGGGTTGTATTTTCTTCAGTTTCAGTTACCCATGGTCAACTTCTGTCTGAAAATATTAAGTGGAAAATTCTAGAAACAAACAATTCATAAGTTTCAAATTGTATGCCTTTCTGAAGAGCATGATGAAATTTCAGGCTGTCCTACTTCATCCCATCCTGTATGTAAATCATACTCCTTTTGTTCATTGTATCTTTGATGTATATGCTACCTGTTCATTAGCCACTTAGTGACCATCTTGGCTATCAACAAATTGTTATAGTATCACAGTGCTTGTATATAGAGTTTGGTACTGTGCATGGTTTTAGGCATCCATTGAGGGGAAGGTACTTAGAATGTATCCCCCAAGGACAAGGGGGACTAATGTATTCAGTTTGTCAAGGCCCTACATACCTGCCTGATATTTGATAACATTTGACTAGCAATCAATGCAGCCCCTAATCTGGACATAATGCAGAGTTGGATGGAAATCTTTCACTATTGCTGATGTAATAACATTCATCAAAGCTGCAATGAATGAATTAAAACTTGTCAATGCCTGCTGGAAGAACATATGGAGTGAAGTCACGAATGATTTTCAAGGCTTTCCAGGGATTCATGGAGAAGTCAGGAAAATCATTCATGCAGCACGACAAGTAGATGGAAAAGGGTTTGTCAACATGCTTGATGAAGAAGTGGAAGAACACATGGAAGGCTATGGAAGACAATGAGGAACTGGAAGAATTTGTTGAGTCATCTAAAGAAGAAGATGAAGAAAAAGAAACTAACACAGAATCAGCAATGCAGTCATTACCAAAATTTACTGAAGTGTTTTGAATTGTACAGACATTACGTGACAAAATTATGGAATATAATCCTCAGATGGAAAGCAGCATGAAAATCACCCATGTGATCACTGAATACTTAATACAAATCTCTGCAACAACAGTTTGATAAATTAAAAACAAAGAGACAGGGGCTGGGGTTGTGGCTCTGTGATAGAGCACTTGCCTAGCACGTGTGAAGCACTGGGTTTGAGCCTCAGCACCACATGAAAAAATAAATAAATAAAATATTGTGTCCATCTACAACTAAAAATATTGAGAGAGAGAGAGAGAAAAAAACAAATAGACAACAGCTGGGCATGGTAGGGCATACCTGTAATCCTAGCAACTCAGGAGACTGAGGCAGGATGAAGCTCAACAGTATAT